TCTTCCTCCCACCTATCCCCTCCTCCCACCTCAAGCCGCACCTCCATCTCCCACCGACCAACCTCATCCCGCCCCCTTGACCTGTCCGTCCTCCCTGGACTGACCTATCCCCTTCCTAACTCCCTACCTACACTCACCTTTACCGGCTCCATCCCCGCCTCTTCGACCTGTTTGTTTCCTCTCCACCTACCCTCTCCTCTATCCCTCTTCTATCCGCCTCCCACTCTCTCCCTATTTATTTCAGAACCCCCTTCCCCTCCCCCTTTTCTGATGAAGGGTCTAGGCCCGAAACGTCAGCCTCTCTGCTCCTATGATGCTGCTTGGCCTGCTGTGTTCATCCAGCCGTGCACCTTGTTGTCTCGGATTCTCCAGCATCTGCAGTTCCTACTATCTCTGATTCAACTTTGGCCCAACAAGTCCACACTGACCCTTGGAGCATCCCACCCAGACCCACCCTCCTATAATCCACCTAATCTACACCTAATCACTTCTAACTTTCTTCCTAAAAATGGGTATTTCTTTAGCTGTGTTCAGGGTTTGACTATTACTTTTCCTAACCATGTCTAAATGAGGTTTTTACTGCAGCCCTTCCTCTGATTATGTGCTACTAACTTATCAGCTTTACCTTCCTATTTGATCTTTCATAGTCAGGAATTGTCATCTCTGTGCTGCCATCCATTTCTCTTCTGCTTCTGGGCTTCTATTGACAATCAATTTTTAGATTTTTTTTATTGCCTGAATTCATTCTGCACACCTTGAAATGTTAACTTTGTTTCCCTTTTCCCCCACTACTGCTCATCCTGCTAAGTATTTCCAATATTTTCTCTTTTTATTTCACTGTTTCAGCAGTTGAAGTATTTTGCTATTGTTTTGTTTCCAGTGTTATTTGCAGAAATGAATCTAAAAACACAGGTTTCCAACTTCATTTGGCTTAGCTTTCTCTCTCTCCTTCCCTCCCCACCCCCACCTCCACCTCCCCCTCCCCCTCCCCATCTCTCCCTCACCTTTGATGGTTTGCATTGACCTTAACAGACTTTGCAGATGAATTATTCAATTGAAAACATGGGTGATTTACTGCTGCTGGTGGTTAATAGATGAAAAAAACACACGGGTGATTTGGTGACGGGAGAAAAGGTTCAGTTGTGTGTAAGAACACTTCTGGGATTATGAATAGAAAACAAGCCAATTAAAAGCCTCTTTGTATCAGGGGTGTTTAAGGTTGCAGAATTTGGATACTGGCCATTTGAGTGAATGAGATCATATTGGAGCTGTGTAGAACTTTGTTAGCTGGAGCACTGTGTGAAGTTATAGTCACCACAGTATAGGAAGGATATGATTGAACTGGGGTTTTGCAAAGGAAATTCACTAAGATTGAACATTTCAGTTATGAAATGAGGCTGAATAAGCTTGGGTTATTTTCTTTGGAGCATGTTCTTTGGAGAATGTTGAAGGGAAGACCTGATAGATTTGTGTAAGTTTATGAGGTCCATGGACAAGATGAATAGAAAGCAGTTATTTCCTTTGTCAAAGGATCAGTAACAAAGGAGTATCATTTTAATGTGAAAAGCAGGAGGTTTAGACGGGCTTTGAGAAAAATCGTTTTCACCTAGAGGGTGGTAGGTATCTGGAATGCACTGTATGGGAGGGTAGTTGAGGTGGGACACCTCACAATCTTTAAAAAGTTCGTAGATGGGCAAGTGGAACTAGTACAGTAGTGTTTTTTTGGTGGTACAGGCTTGCTAGGCTGAAAGGTCTCTGCTGTACTGTATAATTCTATAATTACAATATAAAAGGAGGCTGTTTCGCTCATTGTGACCACGCCAGCTCTATGCAAGTGCTGATTGTCTCATCCTATTGCCATGTTAGTCCAGTATTTTTCTCTTCAGATGTTTCTTCAATTCCCTTTTGAAAGTCTTTGTTATATCAGTTCAAGCTTGAGTGGAGGTGAAGCTGCTGGCTTTATCCTTGAGTTTGGAATCAAGTCAGGCCCAGCAATTCTCAACATAAAATTGCCAAAGTGAGGTAGATTCTAAGGTACATTGGGTTAATAAACACTCTCCACATAATATAACAGAATATTGATTTGGGACCATGTTGAAGATGTGTTGTCATCAATTTTTCAAAATTGGTAGATCTTCAAAGTTCCATCAGAGTAGAAAGTAGCAAATATGACCCCTTATTTAAGAAGGGAGGGAGGCAGTAAACGTGAAACTATAGGCCACTTAGCTTCTTCTGTCATGGAGATGCTGTTGGAATCAATGGTTAAGATGGTGATAACTGTGCATTTGATTTTGTGAGAGGGAAATCATGCTTAACTAATTTATTTGATTTCTTTAAAGGAGTAAGTTGCTCTGTAGATAAAGAGGAGCCTGTTAACATTTTGTACTTGGATTTCCAGAAGGTATTAGATAAAATGACACATGAAGGATTAACACGCAAACAAGGAGCCCATTGTATAGGGGGTAACACTTTAGCATGGATATAAGATTGGCTGACTGGCAGAAAATGGAGTTATACATTAGTGGCTGTTTTACATTTTGGTGCCATGTGATGAGTGGTGTCGTGCAAGGGCTTGTGCTGGCCCTCAAACTTTTATCATTTATATCAATGATGTGAATAAGGACAATGAAGGCAAAGTGGCTAAATTTACAGATGGCACAAAGATGGTAAAAAAGTGTGCTTTGAGGATGTAGTCCAATTATAAATAGATTTAGTGACTAGGCAAAAATCTGACAGATTGAATATAATGTAGGAAAATGTGAAGTTCACCTTGTTGGGAAGGATGCGAAAGTAGCATAACTTTTAAATAAGGAATTACTGCAGAATTCATAGATGCAGAATGACCTAGGAAATTGTATGTAGGTATAACAAGTGATTAGGCGGGTTAATGGAATATTGAAGTTTATTATAAGAGGAGTTGAACACAAATGTAAGTGGTTAATGCTTCAATTATATAGCCATTAGTGAGACCACTTGGAATCGTACTGAATCTCCCTGCTATAAGAAGGATGGTGTGAAACTTGAAAGGCTTCAGAAAAGATTTACAAGAAGGTTGCCAGAGTTGATGGGCTTGAGCTATAGGGAGAAAATGAATAGGCTAGGGCTGTTTTCCCGTGAGAGTCAAAGCCTGAGGGGTGACCTTAAAGAAGTTTATAAAATTATCAGGGGCACAGATATGGTGAATAGCCAATGTCTTTTCCCCAGGGTAGTGGAGTCCAAAACTAGAGGGAATAAATTTAAAGTGAGAGGGGAAAGATTCAAAGGGACCTAAGGGGCAACTTTTTCATGCAGAGGGTGGTGCCAGAGGAAGTACAATTACAACATTTAAAAGGCATCTGGATGGGTACATGAATAGGAACCATTTGGAGGGATATGGACCAAATGTTGGCAAATGGCACTAAATTAATTTAGTATATCTGGGTGGCATGAACGAGTTGGACTGAAAGGTCTGTTTCCGTGCTGTACAGCTCTGTGACTCTAAAAGGCCCTGTTTGCAGTAGTGGTCTCCTTACTTAAGGAAGGATGTATATTAAGGTGTTTCTAGGAGGTTTGCTTGATTTGCTTGAATCAATGGGATGTCTGATGAGAAAAAAATATGAGGCGGCATGGTGGCTCAGTGGTTAGCGCTACTGCCTCTCGGTGCCAGGGACCTGGGTTCAATTCTACCCTCTGGCGACTGTCTGTGTGGAGTTTGCGCTTTCTCCCCATGTCTGTGTGGGTTTCCTCCAGGTGTTCCGATTTCCTCTCGCAGTCCAAAAATGTGCAGATTGGCTGGTTTAGACATACTAAACTAAATTGCCCATAGTATTTAGGGATATGCAGGCTAGATGAATTAGCCATGGGATATGCTCTTCAGAGGGTCGGTGTTAAACCAATGGGCCGACTGGCTTCCACACTGTAGGAATGCTATGAAATCAAAACTTGGGCAGACTGGTCTTCTTTCCACTCAAGATTGAGGAGTAACTTGATTGAAATCTGGAAGATCCTGAATGGTCTTGACAAGGTGGTTGTGGAATGGATGTTCCATCTTGTGAAGAAATAGGGGTCACTATTTTAAAATTAGGGGCCACCTTTTGAGACAGATAAGGAGTATTTTCTGTGAGGGTTATGCAGCTTTGGAACTCCTTGCTTCAGAAGGTGGTAGAGGAGAAGTCATTGAATATTTTTCTAACATAAAATGTTAAGTAGGGGAATCAAAGGTTTTGTAGATGGGAATGTTGAAACACAAATAGATCAGCCATGATCTTATTGAATGGCGATGCAGATGCTATGAATCTATTCAACATACATTTTAACAATGTATTCTCTAAATTGGGCTTCAATAGCAAGGCCACCATGTGTTGCCAATCCCTAGCTATCTGTGGAGAAGATGATGTTTGACCTTCTTGAACTGCTACAGTCCATATGGTGAAAGTGCTTCCACAATCTGCTAGGTAAGGAGTTACAGGTTATTCACCCAGTGATGGTGAAACAGTAGCAATCATATGTCCAAATGAACAAGAATAACTTGTGTTCATCACACCTTTCATGTAATGCATTTGTGTTTCAGTCGAGGGTCATGGGAAAAGGCAGGTAAGTGGAACTGAGGATTAGCAGATCAGCCGTGATCTCATTGAATGGTAGAGCAGACTCAAGGTAGAATGGTCTACTTTTCCTCCTATGTGTCACAGCCTTATTAAGGTTTGACATGGAGCCACATAAGTAGATAGTAGTGCAGGTGGGCAAAAGCTTGATTAAACAGCTAGGATGAAGGCACATTTAGAGGAAAAGATGAGGTGAAGACGCTTTGGGCGGAAATTCCAGAGATGGTGACTTTGACAACTGAATGAATGGCCACTAATAGTGGGAATATCAAAATCAGGAATGCCTAAGCTGTGGGAAATAAATGAGAGCACAGCAGATATTTTGGACCGTTCTGAGGCTGGGAGTGATTACAAAGCTGAAGGTGATCACACATGAAGGTGAGGAAGGGTGCTAGTTATAAACTTTTGGTACTTCATAACCTGGAGCCTCTGTTGGTCAATGAGTATAGGGGTGATGGGTGAACAGTACTTGGTCAACAGAGGTTTTGATGTCTTCATGATGAGATGGAAGTTCAGTGCGCCGTTCTGTAAATTACAGGCTCCATTCAGCTCTTTGTGCTTTGTGCGTGCGTGCTCACCTTTTGTTTTTAAAATCAATTTCATAGGCCACTGGAAGGGGAGGATTTGCAGTTGGGAAATTGGAACCAAACATCACATTAAGATTATGGAGTCACTCAATTCACCAGGACCTGAATCTCATCAGACTTTGAATATGGAAGTGAAAAGCACAGTTCATAGTGAGGAGAAACCATGGGACTGTGATGTCTGTGGAAAGCGATTTAGGTACCCATCTCAGCTGGTAACTCACCACCGTACTCATGCTGGAGAGAGACCGTTCACTTGCTTGGAGTGTGGCAAAGAATTTTCTGATTCTTCCAACCTGCTGCAACACCAACGAGCCCATGCTGATGAAAGACCTTTTAAATGCCAAGACTGTGAAAAGTGTTTTAAAACTTTCAGGAGTCTGAAGTGCCATCAACGTATTCACACTGATGAGAAACCGTTCAGGTGCTTTCACTGTGGGTTAGTATTCAGGAATTCATCTAATCTGAATAGACATCAACGCAGTCATACGGGGGAGATGCCATTCACTTGCACCAAATGTGGTAAGGGATTCACTCAGTCATCCAGACTGCTGACACACCAACGAGTTCACACAAGGGTGAAACAATTGACCTGCCCTGAATGTGGGAAGGAATTCACTGAGTTCTCCAGCTTGCTGAGTCACCAACGAGTTCATGCTGGGGAAAGACTATTTATTTGCTCCAAGTGTGGAAAGGAATTCACTTACTCATCCAGCTTCCTAACAGATCAGCAAGTTCACATTGGAGAGGGACCGTTTACATGCCCTGAGTGTGGGAAAGTATTCACTCTGTTAGCTACTCTCCTGACACATCAACATCAACACCCACCACCGTTAACCTGCTCTGAATGCGAAAGAGATTCACTCAGCTACCCCACGTGCTGAGGTACCTGTGAATTTATAAGTTACAACAGTGATTGGATTGTGCTATAAATCACATTCAGGAATGAACCATGTTTATTGAGGTCTTTTTCTGATGTTATTAAATTCTAGCTCAGTTTTATATCATAGATAAAAGTCAAATAAATCCCCTTTGTGTTAAATGCACAGCTTGTTGAGTCTTTTTAATTTCTGGTGCAATATAATTACCATTACTGTTCTCTGAATTCATGCAGTCCAGCTCATGTTCCGTTGACCCTACTGCCACTTAACTGCTGTTACCAAACTTACCCATCTTCATAGATATTGTTAAGTTCTCTTTTTTTTCAGGTACTGTCCTGCTGTTCTTCAAATCTGCATTAGCATTCACCCCTCTTGAAAAATAAATCCTTGTCTGCATTTAAACTACCTTGTCAGAGCGATAGAAACCTGTGGGCTAACCAAACTGGAAGGGAGTAAAGTTTGTAACGGGACGTCAAAAAGATGTGAGGGAGACTGGAAATCAGGAGAAACAACTGAAGCATTAAATATGCTTTCCAAGTAGAATGATGTCAAATGGACAAAGTTAAGGGTACTCAACCTGCAAGCATGCAGCATTCGCGAGGTAGATGGTCTAAAGACACAAATTGAAATAGAGTATGATCTGAAAAATAGTACAGACACATGACGAGGCAGACCTGGACTGGACTAAATATTCAAGGAGCCTCATCATTTAAGAAGGACAGACAAGAAAGGGAGGTGAAATTGTGTTGATGCTAAGGGATGGATCAGTACATTAGTAAGAGAGGAGCTTAGATTCAAAGAACATTATTTGGATTCTGGATGGAACTAAGAAACAGCAAGGGGCATGAGAAATTGGTTGGAATCACACAAAGGCCTCAAATAGTAGTGATAGTGTAGGAATGGTAATTATCAGTAGATAGTAGAATCTTACAGCATAGGCAACAGAGTTACAATGGATAAGTTAAATTTGCATATAGACTGGGCAAGCCAGTTGAGCACTAAAGCTGTGGAAGACAATTTTCTGAAATGTATAAGGATTGTTTTCTGGAGCAGTGTATTAAAGAATGAACTAGATGACATGCTTTTTGAATCTAATGCCATATGATCAGGCAGGGTAGAAGCTTGTATTATGTTTATAATATGTTTATTAGGGCAAGGGATGGGACTAGTGTTAGGGTCAGGGTCAAAGAAAGAACAAAGAAAATTACAGCACAGGAACAGGCCCTTCAGCCCTCCAAGCCTGCGCTGATCCAGATACTGTATCCAAACCCGTCACCTATTTTCCAAGGATCTGTATCCCTCTGCTCCCTGCCCATTCATGTATCTGGCTAGATACATCTTAAATGATGCTATTGTGCCCGCCTCTACCACCTCCAGGGTCAGGGTTAGGGTCCTGATCAGGATCAGGGTTGGGGTTAGAGTTAGGATAAGGGTTAGGGTCAGGTTTAGGACTTAGTGTTGAGGTTGGGTTTAGGGTTTGTTTCACCTGTGAAAGGGTTAGAGTGCGGTTAGGGTTAGGCTGAGGGTTAGGTTATGGTCAGGATTTGGTTTACAATTAGGGTTAGGGTCAGGGTCAGGGTTCAGATTAGGGTTAATAACAAAAAACAGAGATTGCAGGAAAAGCTCAACAGGTCTGGCAGCATCTGTGAAGAAAAAACTCAGAGTTAACGTTTTGGGTCTCATGACCCTTCCTCAGAACAGAGGGTTACCATAGGCAAAATGTTAACTGATTTTTCTTCACAAATGCTGCCAGACCTGCTGAGCTTTTCTAGCAACCGCTGTTTTTGTTCCTGATTTATGACATCCACGGTTCTTTTGGTTTTTATTCAGGTTAGCATTAGCGTCTAGGTTAGGGTCAAGGTCAAGGTTAGAGTCAGGATGAGCATGAGGATCAGGGGTTAGGGCTAGGGATAGGGTTAGGAGTTAGGACGAGAGTAATGGGGTTTAGGTCATGGTCAGAGTGAGGTACAAGGTAATGGGTGAGGGTCAGGATCAGAATTAGGATTTTGAGTTAGGTTTGAATGAGCGGTTGGAGTTTAGGGTTAATGTTAGGGTTAGGGTTACAGCTGGTGTTTAGGGTTAGGGTAAGCATCTCAGTTAGGGTTAGGTTTCAGGGTTAAGATTGGGGTTTAGGGTTTAGGTTAGTGTTAGGGTTAGGTTAGGGCTGGGTCTTGGATTAGGTTTAGGACTAGTGTTAGGATTATGGTTAGGGTTAAGGTTGAGTTCGGTTTAGTGTTATGGATCGAGTTAGGGTTCAGGGTTGAGGTTAAGGTTAGGGTTAGGTTTAGTGTTAAGGTTGTCAGGCTTAAGGTTTAGGGGCAGGGTTTAGGATTAGGAGTTTGGTTTAAGATTCAGGGTTAGGCTTAGGGTTTGGGTTTGGGGTGAGATTTAGGGCTATGGCTAGTGTTAGGGTTAGTCTCAGCTGCAGTAGGGTTAGGGTTAGACGTTAGGGCTAGACTGTAGGGTTAGAGTTTAGGGCTAGGATGAGAGTGAGTGTTAGGATTAGGGTTAGTGTCAAGGTTAGGGTTAGGGTTGGGTCAGGGTTAGGGGCAGGGTTATGGTCACAGTTAGGTTCCAAGTCAGGGTCAGTGTCAAGGTCAGGATTCGGGTTAGGGTCAGAGTAAGCATTCTGTCAGGGTCAGGGTAAGGGTCAATGTTAGTGTCAGGGTTAGTGTTAGGGTCAGGGTTAACATCAGGATCAGGGTTGGGGTCAGTTAGGGTTAGCATCAGGGTTAGGCTTAGGGTCTTGGTTATGGTCAGGGACAGGGTCAGTGTTAGAGTTAGAATCAGGGTAAGGGTTAGGGTTTGGGTCTGGGTCAGTGTTAGGGTCAGGGTCAGGGTAAGGGTTCAGATTGGGGTTAGGGTGAGGGTAAGCGTTCGAGTCAGGGCCAGATTTAGGGTCAGGGTTAGTGTTGGGTCCAGGTTCGGATCAGGGTCACAGTTAGGGTCAAGGGCAGGGTTAGCATTAGGGTTAGGGTCAGAGTCATGGTGGGTGTTAGGGTTAGAGTTGGGATTAGGGTTAGGATGCAGGTTCGGGTTAGTGTTAGGTTTAGGGTTAGTGTTAGGATTAGGGTTGGGTTTAGGGTTGGGGTTATGATTGGGGTTTGGGTTAGGTTTGGATTAGAGGTTAAGGTTAGGTTTAGGGTGAGAGTGGCAGAAACAGGGGAGGAGAAATAGAGGATGAGGAACAGAGGTGCAGAAACAGAGGATGAGATACAGAGGAGCAGAAACAGAGGATGAGAAACAGTGGCAAAAAGAAAGTATGAGAAACAGAGAATGGGAAACAGCATGTCAGAAACAGGATGATAAAGTGAGGATGAGAAATGAAGGATAAGAAACAGTGTCAGAAACAGACGATGAGAAACTGTTGATATGAAAGAGAGTTGCAGAAGCAGAACATAAGAAACAGAGTGGCAGACACAGAGAATGGCAAACAAAGGATGTGAAACGGCATGGCAAAAAAGAGAATGAGAAACAGAGGATGAGAAACAGAATAGCAGAAACAGGATGATCCACAGGGGAAAAGAAACAAATTTTCCGAAATTGAGTGGCAGAGTGTGGCAGAAATAGAGAGGCAGCAACAAAATGGCCTAAATAGAGGTTGAGAAATAGATGAGAAAGAGAGAATGAGAAACAGAGGATGAGAAACATAATGGTAGAAACAGGATGATAAACAGAGGATGAGAAACAGGGTTCTAGAATCAGAGTGGCAGAAACAGGGGATGAGAAACAGAGTGGCAGAGACAGAGGATGAGAGAAAGTAAATGAGAAATGGGGATGAGAAACAAAGGGTGAGAAACAGAGTGACAGAAATGGAGGATAGCAAGCAGTATGGCAGAAACACAGGATGAGAAAAAGGGGAATGAAAAACAGAGTGACATAACAGAGGGTGAGAAACAGAGAATGAGGAACAGAGTGGCAGAAGGAGAGGATGAAAAACAGAAAATGAAGAACAGTGTGGCAGGAACAGCAAATGAGAAACAGTGGGTCAGAATCAGAGAATGTGAAACAGAGGGGCAGAAGCACAGGATGAGAAACAGAAGGAGGGAAAGAGAGGGGCAGAAACAGAGGGGGAGAAGCAGAGGATGAGAAACAGTGTATACACAGCAGAAGATGAGAAACAGAATGGCAGAAACAAAGGATGAGAAACAGAGAATGAGAAGCAGAGGGGCAGAAAGAGAGGATGAGAAACAGGATGGGGAAACAGTAGATGAGAAACAGAAATAGAAACAGAGGATGAGAACCAGAGTGCAGCGGCAGCATGGCAGAAATAGAGGAGCAGGATTAGAATGGCTGAAAGAGAGAAGGTGAAACAGAGAATGAGAAATAGAGGATGTGAAACAGAGTACAGAAGCAGAGTGTCAGAAACAGAGCATGTGAAATGGGTTATGATAAAAAAAGAGTGGCAGAAAAAGAGGATGAGAAAGAGAGGGTGATAAACAGAGTGGCAGAAACTGAGGACAAAAACAGTGTGGCAGACAGAGAGGTTGAGAAATAGAGTGCGAAAAACAGTGGGCAAAACGGAGGATGAGAAACAGCAGATGAGAAAAAGACAATGAGAAACAGTGGGGTGAGAAACAGAGCGGCAGATACAGAGGATGAGAAACAGTTTGGCAGAAACAGAGGAAGAAAAAAAGAAAATGAGAAACGGGATGAGAAACGAAGGGTGAGAAATAGAGTGACAGAAACAGAGGATGGGAAGCAGTGTGGCAGAACAGAGGATGAGTAAAAGGGGAATGAGAGACGGAGTGGCGTAAACAGAGGATGTACTACAGAGGACGAAGAACAAAGAGGCAGGAAGAGAGGATGAGAAACTAGAGGAGGAGGAATAGAGGGGCAGAAACAGAGAATGAGAAACTGGGTCAGATGCAGAGGATGAGAAACGATACGACAGAAACAATGGGTCAGATGCAGAGGATGAGAAAAAGAGGATGAGAAGCAGAGGTGCAGAAGCAGAAAGGCAGTGCAGGTATAGTGGATGAGAAACAGAGGATGAGAAATAGATGGGCTGAAAAAACAGAGAATGACAACAGAGGGGCAGAAACAGAGGGGTAGACACAAAGAATGAGAAACAAAGAATGAGAGGCAGTGCATCAGGGACAGAGGATGATAAAATAAGGATGAGAACCAGAGAATGAGAAACAGAGTGCAGAAGCAGAGTGGCA